ACCTAGTAAAAAATGCCTGAGTTGGTTTTGCTTCCCTTATTTTGAAACAATGCATTTCCTTGTTGAAAATCTTCCCTGAAACTTTGAATGCTTTGGCCCCAATCTATTTATTGCTAGTTTATGACTATGTTTACAGCATTAATTGTAGATATGTTATATTTGCATGTGTTCTATGATTTGCTCTTTTTTTTCTTTTCTTGGCCTGCATGTTTGCTACTACAGGAACCTGCTTGGGAAATCAATGGCAACAGAGCAACCTTCAGCCCTCTAACTAACACGGCGACTGGGCCTATGGGTAGTGTTTTAGCAACCAATGGAACCTTTTCAGGCTACCTCAACCAGCAAGAGATCAGCCTTTCAAATAGCTCTTCCTACCTAAAGACTACCACAGTTAGATCTTCCATGTCCTCTCAGTCTGTGACTCCTGACCTTTCACCTGCCAAGAGCACGTTAGGTTCCAAAGCAAGCCCTGCTTTGGCTGGTGGCAGTAGCCCTGCACACCAGCTGAGCCCAGCGAGGCAGTATAACAACCCCATTGGCCTTTACTCGGCAGAGACCCTGAGGGAAATGGCTGAGATGCATAAATTGAGTCTCAACCGAAGGGCTTCGGAAGGTGGACTTCCTAGAGGGTAGGTAACGTGGTAACATTTTTAATTATTTCAATAAGTAATGAACTTGCTGAGCAGTGATTGTAATGGTGCTTACCCTATTGTGCATTTGTCTGGCAATCATTATTAAAGTCTAGAGCAATAATTAAATTTTCCAGTAGCCCCCAAAACATACCCAAATGGCCATTACAGAGCAATGGTTATTGGCATCTGATGTGCAGCATGGATTGGCAGTAGTCAGCAGAAGATGAGGGGGAACACTAGGACTGAAGTAACTGGGATTGTCTCAGGGTTGTGACACTCAGCAGTTCTAACTAATGCATGGAGTTTCAGAGAACCAAGTATTGCTGTCAGACATCAGAGCAGCTGCCATAAACCACACCTGATCTTTGGTACTTTGCTAGAGAGAAATGGCTTTGACCAGCAAATCTGACATACCCAGCTACTGGAGTGTCCTGCTGTGATTCCTGCCTTAATGTGTTGGCTTTCCTATGCAAAATGAGTCAAAACTGCAATGTTTTGAATCCCTTAGTTTAAAGAATGTCTTGCATCTGTTAGCTTTAATGTTAACTTTGCTATAACAAGGAATGATCTCCAGATACTGCCCAGATAGTTTGATCCCATGCCATCAAGGTTTTCCATACTCCTATATTGCAGGTCATCTGTTTTATTAGTAGGTTTGTGAAGTGGGTAGCTTGGACTGCAGTACATGAGAAAAAGTAGGGAGAAACAGGTTTTCCTAATTTTTTTGCCTTCATCTATAAATCCTCAAACAAATCTAATTTTTTAGTTTATTTTTGGCTTTGGGTTTTTTTTAATGAAGATAAATTTCTTGTTAGGAATATGGGGAAAAGTGGGTTTTTGACACTAGGGACTTGGCTATATAAGGAAAACCAGAAAAATTCTGATAATCCACTCAAGGTCTGATAGCAAATGCATATATTCAAGTACTTTATATCCATTTGCAGCAGCTCTTCGCAAAAATAAAACCAAGAGGTTTTAAGTTATAGAAAAGTAGAGATATTTCATCCTATAAAAGAGCATATACACCTGTTCTAGATGATTCAAGCAATTGTAGATGATTCACTGCCACTCTCTTGAGCACTCAACATTAACAATCCTAATTAACTTACCTGAGAAAATTCTATTCTCCCTTCTCATACTTGCTAATTAAGTAAAGCAATTACCTTAACAAAAATAATTTCAGTTAGTAAGCAAGATCAGCAAAATAAACCTCAGAAAACTTGTCTCTTAATTTACAGTTTCCTGAAGAATACCAATTCCTGTCTTATTTCAATATACAGAGTTTCCTGGGAGTATATCTTGTTGTCTTTTTCTCCACTATGTTCATAATCCTCCTTAATACCTGCAGAGGTGAGGGCGAAGGGGCTGAATTTTGGATGGCTCAGCATTGTGACTGTTTGTTATCAGAATTACAACACAGCTGCATCCATCACTCACCAAAGTCTGTGTGAGCCTTTCTATTCAGTTTGAATGAAATTTTAGGGAACTGTTATCTGCCTTTACCATCTGGAACACTGATGAACAAACAAAAAAATAAAAGCCCCTTATCCTTAAGTGCAGGAGCATTCTGGAAAGATTAATGAGCCCAGAAGCACTAAATAAATGTGTCTTGTCTGGTAACTTCTCGGGGGTTTGGAAAACTGTACATCTCTGTTGACATGCAGAGAAAATTCAGAGCTCAGTAATGCTATCATTCTCACTCCCACTTGACTGTTATCCATGAAGTAAGAAGTATCTTGCTTCTTGCTCTGTGGAAAAAAACATAGAACGTGTAACTATCTTGGGTCTTGGTGGCATCCATGATAATCTCAATCCCACAGTGCATATATGGGAATAAGGAAGCACTGTGAGCGCTGCGAAATCAGCTCTGGTCTTTACTGGGAACATTCTTGCCATATAATACAACATGGTTGTGATATTGTGGTGCTCCAAAACTGAATTCATTGTGCTTTCACAAGCATGCACTTAGCTGTATGGTAAAAGCTGCAAGAAAGTTCAAGCATGAGGCGTGATCTTAAGGTATGTTCCAGTTCTGTGCCCTTTTCACCAGATGATTTAAACTTAATTGTGTGAATTGCTGTTACAGGTTTAGCTAAACCCTTCAGAAAATTCTGTCAAGAAGCTGAAATTAATTTTGAGATTATTTCCTTGGTCAGTGAAGGATTACAAAACATGTGGTTTTCTGATACACTTTACATTAAAGCTTTATCATTCTGACCCATGGTAAAAAATAAGATAGCCTGTTAGGAGTGTGGAATGTGATGTGCTGAAAGCTCTGGAGTGTATGAATAAATATGAACAGTGAGTCATAGTTTGTAACGTGCGTCTTTTTCATTCCAGTGTCAGTTATTTTTCACACTGTAGGTCAAGGGCAGCAAATACCTGTCCCACAAGTACGTGCCAGGTGGCTTGGGTTACTGGCCTCTTACTGTGTGACCTCTGCGAGCAGCAAGCTGGGTGTTCCAGACATGTCCCTATATAGAGTCAAACTAAAATAATGTGTGGCTCTGAACTGGGAGGAATTTTCTCATCACATCCTAAACATAAGGAGAAGCAAAGCTTTACTGGTTTTGAAAGAAGCTCTATAGCGGCCTCTTTACATCCCAAAAATCTTTACTGAGACGTGACTACTGAGCTGTTCTTAGTGTGTGCACATAATGTTTCTTTTCTTTGGACATACTTTTATATTCCTTTAATTAAGGCATATTTTAGGGGTTTGGTAGTTCTGCCTTGAAAATGTTATTTTATATGTATGGTAGATGCCTGGATGAGTCAGAAAATGATACCATTACACTTGGTTTCATTGTAAATGAGTGCCCAGCTGTCTGGCATACACCTAAAATGGATATAAGATCACTGATGTGCTTACAGGCTGCAGCTTGTTCCTAATATATCTCTAACAGTTCCTGTAAGAGCATTTGGCTTAATGTAGAGTTTATAAAGCTAGAAGAATATTTTCAAATCTGAGCATCTGACCAGTAGCTGCAGAGGGTGATCTGTGATTGCTTTACCATGGAAATGCAGAAGTGCACAGCCTTTACTGCAACTTTGGATCATTAGGGAGCTTTTGATCATGAAAAGTGCTGTTGGATGAGCCAAGGCAAAAAAATCATATGTAGGAAGAAGCAGCAATATCAAAGGTTCTGCAAGAAAAAAGGAGGAAGAGTCAAATCCACTTGGAGTGTCTCTCTTTAATAGTGTAGCTTTGCTGTCCAGTATTTTGTATCAGTCCCAGACACAGAAATGTCACAGCAGCAAGCTGGAATCCTCAGTGCCCAGTTCTGTCAACAGCATTCCATACAGCCGAGTAAAAAGAAAAGTTTATTAACTGACCGTGGACCTCTTCCTGTATATTTTGCACTAAATAGGATCAATTAGTCTTCAACCAAGAGCAGAATGTGGGTATTCTAAGCTTCAGGGGAAAAAAAAGTTAAAATAAATATCACAGCCCATTACTGCTCTTTGTGCAACCACCACAAAGAGTTACTAGGAAGAGTACTGTAGTCCAGACTGAGCACACTCTGTTCTGCACTCCCAGTTTTATCCTGTATTATGGTGCTTTGGAATTACTGTGCAAGCACCGTCACTGGTTTGTGCAGAGATGCAGGAATGGAGTGTGAACATACATTTTTTTTTCATACTGTATAGAAACAGTTGGAATAAAATATACTGATATGGATATCCCAAAAAACATATAGCAATTGTGACTTGTTTTGTTTCATGTGGAATAGACTAGGAATGACTATTCCAAAGTTAATTGGCTTACATGCCTCTTGGCATAATGCAGGTGCAGTCAGATCTAGGCAAATGCTTTGTTATATACAAAGGCATTTTCTTTAGTTTTAGCTTTCAAACATTTACCGGTATATTCTTTGGATCTTCTCCAGCATGTAAAAGGCTTAAAAAACAGTCTTGTAAGACCAGCTCTAAGGGTGGCCTGAAAACAGACTTTATCCCTGAATATTCAGTATCTACAAGAAAAATATAGTCCCTACCACTCATTTGCTATTTTCAGATGAGAATATACTCTGAAAATCCTCCTTTTTTCCCTCTGCTCCCTCCTCCCTTCACTTTGGTAGTAGTACTTTTAAGGATGCACACCAGTAAGATCATGTTCAACAGTCAGCCAAAGTGCCATGGTACCCTACTAAGTCCAGGTGGATCAACTATAATCCCTGCATTTTTTCCTTTCTTAATCATGTTGGGGTTTTTAGGCATACATTTACTTTTTGTTCTTATTTGTAGATGGTCTAAGAAGAGCTGTAGTATTCTTTTGAAAATATCTTTTACCCTTTGCACTCTACAAACTATTGACTTTTTTCTGTGTGGTTGGTTTTGATGTTGTTTGTTCTCTTTCTCTTCTTCTAGGTCATAACCAACACCGCTGCCAAGTTAGTATCACCTCTGTGTAGTGCCAGATATTTGTGTAATGCTGTGTGTGTGAAGATGTGTTTCTGGGGTAGCATGATCCCCTGCATTCCTGCTGTGTCTGCTTGCAAGTGCAAGTATTTTTTTTAAACGTCTGCTTGGTATGGCAGGTGCCTTGTGCTGCTCCTGCGTCCAGCAGTGCTCCCACTTGGCATTTTTGGTGATGCTCTAGTGCTGTGAATGGAGCTGCCACCTGAGCCTGCCCAGTTCTTCTAAAAGCTTTCAGGTGGTTTTGCTTCTATGGGCAGGTTTAAGTCCTCCTAAATCTTTAAGTCACCTTTATGCCCTCAGAGTTTGGAGAGCATTATCTGAGCTTTTTTTGGTGTGTTATTAGTAAAGTACTTTTGGCTTTTTTTAATGTTAAATTAATTTCTAAAGTCTGCTAAAATTCAAATTTAAGTTGGGGTAAGATACTGATATAGGGAAAAAAATATCTATGAAGTAATTTACCTTGATAAATCTATTGCCCAAAACGAAATAACTATTAACTTGAAAATGTGATTGATCGGCTTTATTTAGGAGACTTCACAGAGTTCTCAGTTTTGACCTTTAGTTTTCTAGGGGCAGAGGATTGTCTCTAAACTCTTGCTTTTTGCCTCTGACCTGAGTGTTGTCCATTAATTGATGGAGACTGGGTTAAACTGAGTAGAAAATAAATAATTCTAATAGTTAAGTGTCAAATTTAAACTGAGTGCAGAGTTAGAAGTAATAGAATACATAAAGTTGAAATAATATTTATTGCATATAATTTACATGGATCTTGCATTCTCTGTTTATTTCAGTGAGGTGTGGGTGTGATGATGTAACCCCTTTGGAGTGAAAAACCCTAGTTTACATTAATAATTATTCTGACAGGATTGTCTTAGAAAGCAGAAGTCACTTTATAGGGGTGTTTGTAATCTTACTTGCTTTGGGATTTATTTTTCCTGATCCCTTTGTAGCTTAGGAGAAAGATTGTATTCATTTTGCAGAGGTGCTCTCTCTGCAGCCTTTCCTCTGCCACTTTGTCCTAGAGCCCAGCACTCCTTACAAGCACTAACATCCTCTGTTTGCTTCCAGAGTTAGAAAAAGAACTCAGCAGTTGGCAATCTGTACTTTTTTTCTGTTATTTTTATCATAATCTTATTAACTTCAGTGGAAGTTTTGCCTTGATGTATGTAATGTGACTAAAACCTCTTGAAAAACATCACTAAAATTGTTTAAAGACCACAAGTGAAAGCCCAAATGACTCCTGCTGCTACCATGAGGGAAGTTTAGGCTGTTCTGACATTAGTAGCCTTGATTTCTGTAACTGACTGTGGAAGCTAATTGCTTAGAACATTATTCTTTAAAGGTGTCATATTTAACCTCTGTCCTTTCCTTCACACAATCTTCTCAGATCTTGGGTTTAGAATCTCTTTAGTACTTCCAACAGTGTGAAAGAAAGAGAGCACTAAATTCAAGATCTTGAGGACCTGTGTGTTTTTAATTATCATGTGATTATTTAGGGTATTACACAGAAAAGAGATATTGTTGAAGTCAGGCATGTGCATGCTCAGTACAGAACCCTGCACGTCTCTGCACATCACCCCTCCAGAGATGATGTCACTGTAATTATAGAATTGTCAGAGTTGATGAATAGTTAAGGGAGATGTGTTTTAAATGTGAAAATGTCTTGATAAAAAGATAATTTTCACTTTTTTTGCATGCATAATGCTGCTTCCCAATTCCCTCCCTTAAAATATTGGCATGTGCAAGTGAAGGCTGTGGCTGTAATGGAGCATGTGCACCTGTGTGTCTCTGGTCCTCACACATGGGGTGGTTGATGTTCTATCAAGGATTTGCAATGATGTGTGACTGTCTCTCTCTGTCCATCCTCAGTCAGGGCATCCCATCAAACAAAAGCTGAAAACAGAGCAGAATCTCATGGCTGGCTTCAGAGGTGGCACAGCACCTGTGATAGTCTCCAGATAATTAAGTCAGATGGCTACCAGCCTTATTTGATTTTACCTTTTTCATCATGCTGGGTTGAGGGTTCAGTTTTAACTCTCACCCTCTGGGGCTACCCGTGGTAAACAGGTACACTGTTGTGTGTGTAAAGAGAAAAACAATATTAGCCAATAAATTTAGAATCTAATGTCTTAAGCTGAAAAGGAAAATTATTCCAATCAAACAGAATTAAATTCTTCAGCAGTTCTTCTGCTGGGGGAAAAATATCTATGTCCAGCTTTTGGGTTCAGTTCTGAATGAAAAATTTGTGAAATATCTGTTATTTCACAAAGGATGGAGTTCCCAATTTTGTCCAGTTTAGTGAGTGTATGGCATCCCTCCTGCTGGCAGGACAGGAGCAGCAAACTAGAGATTCACTTGATCTCCCATAGGTTGAAGAGCAGCCACTATAGTGGCTGACATTGGTCATTGGAGCTCTGGTTAGTGCTCAGTCCTAGCTCTAGGACTAGAACTATGCACAACTCAGCCCTACAAAAATAGCAGCTGTTCTCTGGCTGCAGTCTGACACCAAACGGACTCATTCTGCTGTCACAGAAGCTTCAGTTAGCTTGCTTTAGGGGCTCAGTCTGTCAAATATAAAATGTTTCCTTGTAAATGGAGTCACTTGGAAACTAAGGCAGCAACTCTTCCAACTGCACTTGTCCTGTTGGTTGCAATGTTGCATATTTTGATCTGGGACTGAACATTTATTATGCCATAGCAGCACTTCAGGCTGGCTGTACAGAGATTTTGAGAAGATTTAGTCTTTATGAGGAAAGCCTTGAAGATTAAAAGGTGCAAGTACTAAATTTCACTGTGATTAATAACACAGACAGAAAGTACTTAAACCTTCTAAATAATAGAGAACCTGATACCTGTTTGCTTCACTGTACTTTCTAGACCTTTGTAACACCCTTCTGAAAACACAAATGGATGAAAAAAGAAGTGGTTATTCTCTGCACTGTGCATGTACATCCCATGGATATGCATATATACATATGCATGTTTGTATACATTTAGATATATATATGCATATAACAACAGAATTCTAGTATACGTAAGTATCACACAAATACTTACAGATTTTTTTGGGATATTTTAATACAGTGACAGCTATTTCACCTTTTTTTCCTTTTTTAACATCGTAAGCCAACTCAAAAATGACATCCATTAGCACAGCCACCTTTTTGCCATGACTTGGAACTTTCATTGTCTGTGTTTCTCTGATGAGAAGCTTTGGTGGTGAGATGCCATGAACAGACGTGCACACTCCCTCACTTAACTTCACGCCTCTCTCCTTTCTTCCCCTCCCTTCTCTGTGGAACCTCACTCTTGCATAACCCAGCACGGACTTCACGGAGCGTTTCAACCCCAATGTCCTGAAGGACTCTGCCCTGTCTACCCACAAACCCATTGAGGTGAAGGGCCTTGGCGGCAAGGCTACCATAATTCACGCGCAGTATAACACCCCGATCAGCATGTATTCCCAGGATGCTATCATGGATGCAATTGCAGGCCAGGCACAAGCCCAGGGTGGAGAATTTGCTGGGTAAGGTTATTTCCTTCTGTGGAATGCTCTTTCTCTGCATGGTACTTATAACATCCCTACCTGCATGACACATTTGCTCTTCCTGGACTCTTCCTTTTTTCTGGGGTATATTACACATGTGAAAAATGCGTATCAATCCTAGACAGTGTCCAAAAACACTTCTATGTTTTGAAGTTAAAAGGATGGATCACTAGAAAATCATAGCATGCTTTGTTGTTGGAAGGAACCTTAAAGATAATCTAGTTCCAACCCCCCTATCATGGTAAGGGGTACCTTATCTTACCCTACTTTTTTGTATTCCTCCTAGAACTGGTAAACATCCACAAAATACATGTCATTGTGTGTATATGATATTGGATGGCTTTTCATTCCTGACAACCATGATTTATAATAGTCACTATTATATGCATAGCTCAGAAAGGACAGAAAAGGGGGATGGAATTTTTATTGAGACGTGAAGAATGCAAAATGTTTATTTAGCACTGACTGCTGTTTTGTTCTTCAGAATAGAATATTTTGCTGTATTTTCCCTATCCCCAGTTTACATGCAGTATATGTGTTTTACACAGATCCTTTGGACTATGGCAAAATCCCCTGATCTTGAATAACTCTGCTTTTCCAATGCACATTTCTGGTAATCTTACCTGATTAACTTATCCAGAGTTGTAATAACTTTCGTGAAATAACATATGCAATAAATGTAGCCAGGTTTCTCTCTTACTGGGTGCGCTTCTGCCCAAAATAGAAATGGCCTTCCTTTGGTATGACACCAAAATACAGGTATAGCAACATACTTTAATGTATTTTCTTTTCCATATGTTAGCTGCAGGCTTATTCAGAATGAGGCTGGTTTATATATTTGGTTGTGCTCCCTTTTGCTGGCCATTTTTCTCTGTTTTTTATAATTGTTTTTCTTTTCTGCTAAATTTTTGCACCAATATTGTTGTTCATCACAGCTCTCCCTCATGATGGATCACAAGCAATACCTTTAGCTGGCTTTGGCCATGACTCAGTGAATCTCCATAGGTGTTGAGCAGACTCGTTTTTCCAGTTAGTGAAGTACAAAGAAGTTCATTTGTGTTCTCTGTAAGGGTTCACATCCTTCATAGGTGTGGATTATAGGAGACATTTATGATACATTGGCACTTTCTATTAAATGCTGTAGCATTATATAATGCAACTAGTAATGTTTTAAAAAATTATCTATTTAAATGATCAGATTATTATAAAGTTAATGCTGCATATGTGGATCCTTTTCATTTTTTAAGTTTCCTTTTGTTCCCTCTGTGATATTCTGAACTTTAATTTCAGTGGAAACCAAAGTGTTCTTTAGCTTGCTTAATCGATCAAATCTGAGTTAAGATTATGCTTAATGCAGAAGTAAGTATTTTTGTGAGATGTTTTTAATATTAAAGCAGACCAAATTGTGTGCTGATTCATTTTGTCTCAGTTATCAGCCTATACTTTGGTCTTGTTTTTAATTAATAATCTTAGTCCTTTTCATTTGTCCACAAGCATCTGTAGGGTGGTAAGCACACTCAGCCTGTACATCTGAAGGGCAGACAGCAGTTGCAGGTTACTTATTTTATCAGTGAGGAAGGACAGACAGGCTTAAGATATGAATTCATTTTCTAGTTTGACCATTTGAAATCAGTGATGTTGTAACTTCATGACATCAGAGTCAGGCTCTTGTCACTTAAGAATAAGCCATACTTACAGGATCACCATGGAAAACATAAAGGAAAGGACACAATTATTCATACTCAGACTCCATGCTGAAACTTAAAGGTAGAAAATTTTGAATGCCCTGACTTTATATATTTTTCTACTCTTTGTTTTTCTGGTTTAATTGATATTGCTAAACCAAGAACCAGGACTTAGGTGGCTGCAATAAAACAATGAGGACAGTGCATTTTGAGTAGATTTCTGTCAAACCACTTCTAAATTCCATTATGCAGTTTTAGCCAAATTCACCAGTTGTATAAAGACATAAATCCAGCACCTTTATTTGGAATAAGATCTGACAGCTGAAGTAGAAGAATCAATAACGTGATTGTACAAACTGAGGTCTTGTGTATCCTCTACAATAAGTCAACTTGGCTGGCTATTTAGCAGTCTACATGAACTTCTGTTTGTTGGGTTGTGGAGATTTTACCTCTTAGAGCTTTTTTTAAAAAAGCTGGAATCCATCGAATACCTGATGCCACAATATTTTATTGTATGTCTACTTCAGGGTTAGAACACTGCAGTGTTCCTAAGTTTTTACTTAATAATTAGTGAAATTAAATCTGCATAATGACTCCAGGGAGCGATTCACATAGTGAGCCACAGTTTATAATGAACTCCAAAAAATAAAATTCCATTGCTACTTATTCAGGTTTGACTGTCTTTAAAGCTCATTTTAATGGTAAAAATGTGTGACTTAAATGATGATAAGAAAAAGGAAACTAATTTTTATTGACTCCTACTAGAATACCTTAGGCTCTAGATTAAAAACCTGCACAGCTCTAACCCATTTGGGAAGAGGGGTTTTTTACAGTAGCATCAATGTAAAGTAATATGCTTAAAGATGCATGATATTTCTGCACATCCACACCCAGATGGAAAGAAATTAAATTACAAAGAGGTATAACAGAGGTATTAACATGGTTATGTGCATCTTTAGGCTGTCTGTAAGAATCAACTGTCCCATTTAGGTTTATGAAATGCTCATAATAAGCGATGCGCTCTATTTTACACTTCCATGCTGAGTGGCTTATATGTCCTAGATATTCATCCACAATATAATTATGTTTTTTAAAAAAAGAAAAAGGCCTGCTGAATTAAAGACAAAGTTGGAAATACTCCAATGTATTGTATTAATTTAGTTCAATTTATATGAGCATGTTTCACTATGCTGGGGAGGTTAATTCACTAAGCTCCATTTCCTGCCTTAGTCATCTACCATAAGGATATTAATATGTCATTAATGCCACACATTGCTACTGTGAAATTTGTGGTCCAACCTCCAGCCCTAGTTTTTTAACAATGCTTGAGTTAATGGCATATCTGTACATAAACCTTCGAACTGCTTTTTTGTACATAGGTCATAATATAAGAAGGAAGCATTTGAGCTAGAGGATTTAAACAGAGGAATTTGAACTGTCTGTGGCTGGCACACCGCTGCTGCCACGGTGATCTGTGGTTGAAACCAGCAGCACTGTCTATCCAATGGTTTATTATCCACTCTAGAACAGTGTTCAGCTGGGAAATTTGCTGTCCCATACAGCAGGTTTTTAAGTTTCCACAAGATTAAGAAGTCAGTGTGGGGATATAAAATTAAGTGTTGGTCCACATCAGGCAGTCACTTCTGGTATTCATACAGGGCAGGTTCTGGATATGAAGCACCCTGAAGCACCTTGGGGACTTGAAAACAGGGTCACCTTTTGGAGAACATTGCCATGTCAGACCTTTCAGCATAGGCAAGTGTCAGAAGCAGCAGCAGCAAAGTCCCGAGGGTGTTGCTGTGACTTACTGTTGGTATTACAGAGAATCTCTTTGCCATGCAAAGACTATTCCTGCAGAAGGAAAAAGAAGGCAGAACTCACTGCTGTTCTTTCTTTCCTGCCTCAGAAAGCCCCTTTACTATGTGTGATGGATCAGAAGAGGAGGATTACTGTTCTCTCTCCCCTCTTCCACCTAAAGAAGGCTATGACACCGTTTTGTCCATTGCTGCACACAGGAGTAGCACTAATGGCAGAGCCTTCCCAAAATAAACAAGTCTGCATTCTGCCTTCTGTACCTGTTAACATTTGGCTATTGTAAAGATTGTGGTCTAGAAAACATGAGCTAAAAAAGAAGCTCAAAAATGTTGCTTCCTCCTACAGGCCATCTTTCACACTGAGGAACTTTTTTACATAACTTGCATGCTTCGTGGCAGAGCTTAAGCTGAAGAGTCAAGTTTTTCTTTAAATTCACCAAAGCTGCATTCCACCCCACAGATGATTGTGCAGAAACACACACAAAAAAAAAAAAAAAAAAAAAAACCAAAAAAAAAAAAACCACACAAAACCAAAACTTAACTGGGGTTTGTACTTTGATGGCTCCTCAGGAAAGTGAGAAGTTTGCATATATGGGGGTTATAAATACATGCTATTATGTGTAAATCCATCTAAGCAGTGTATATTACCCAGTGCTGAAGAAGAGGAGTGTGTCAGCTGGGAAGTACTGATATTTAAAGCACTACCTGGTAACATTTGCATCCCACTCTGTGTAGAATGTCAGACATATTTCCTGGCTTTTCATAAGTCCTCTCAGGCTTTCAAATCACAGGCTAAACTTTTCTGAAGATTTTCTGTGCACAGTGGTATCTTAGCACTAACTTCAAGCCTGAACCAAGGAAGCAACTGTTATACCAAATGGCCCTTAACTTTTAACAGAACTGTTTCTCAGTTTTCATGAAGTTGAGCTTGCTGCTTGCAAAGCTCTTTATGGAATAGCATAAAGCTGTTACAATAAATCACTTGCTTCAAAAATAGACCTTGTATTTAGAGCAGCCATGGAGCCAAGTTGCTCCAAGCACACATCATTCCCTCCATGTATATTTCTGTTGCTCTGTTAATAGTAAATTTTAGTTCTGCTGTGCAGAAGTTATTTTCACTGGGGAAAAAAAAAACCCCAAAACTATTAAGTTACTAAGCCTATTTCTAGCTTGCATCATATATCAAAGCGAGGTTATCTCACTTGTGTTACAGACCTGTGTAGCTTTGATTTTGGGTGTGCACAACTGGATATATCACTTTTCAAGATGATTAGGCATGTTTTAAGACTCTGAGATGCATTCTGTCATTAAAGATTTCAGATACTACTTATATATGCAAGTCTTGAGTGCAAGTCTAGACTTCCTGTGCTTCATATGTTTAGTAGACAATGAATCCAGACTATGGCAGATAAAGTTTAATTCAGTTTGAAAAAGAATCGTCTTTAGAAAAATCTACAAAAGTCTACCTAATTATTTTTATACTGAAATATGGGTTTATTTCTAATTGCAACCTTAAGCTACACTGGCCCAGCACTGTAATTTAAAGAGAACATAAAGCAGTACCAACATGAAGTTGTATTTATAAGAAATAATATGTAACAAAAATGGTCAGAGAAATAAATGGTTTTGCCTGGCCTACTCTTCGCATATTATTCTAACCACTGCATGCTTGTGTACCTGCCTTGGCTGAGGAATCATGAACAGGTATTTCCAAACAGATTTGAATGATAACAGGCCCTTTCAGAGACAGAATCAGCCATAGCATAAAATTGATCTACATATTTTTTTAATAACTGTTCGTTCAAAGCCATGTAGGGGATGGCTGGGTGAGAAACTGTGACCAGAGAGCTGCTTCCAACATTTCCCTTTCTGAATTGCAGTGCCCTCCCTATAAAGGATCCCCATGTAGACAGTGCCTCTCCAGTGTATCAGGCTGTGCTTAAAACTCAGAACAAGCCCGAGGATGACAGTGAGGACTGGAGCCGTCGCTCTGCCAACCTGCAGTCCAAGTCCTTTCGCATCCTTGCCCAGATGACTGGAACCGAGTACAGTAAGTTGAATAACAAAACATCCCCTTCATCCTGATTTTAGATTCATGCCTTTCCTCACTGCCCTGGTATTGGCCACTGATACTCAGGGAAGACTCTTGTCCAGGCTCATGTAGTTGTCACAAGGGTGAAGATCCTGGGTGTAACTTGGGGGAGCTCAGAAATCAAAGTGAACAATCTCACCTTATGCTTTGTGAAGAAAATTCTTTTGCCAGGGGCCTCAGCATAAAAGTATAACAGATTGCACAGTAAACGAGCATTTGGGACCCCATAGTTATTCCTACTTAGAAATCAAATCTCTGCAGTGCAATCTTTGGGTTTCCTGCAGCCTAGACGTACAGAGCTGTCCATGCTTTAAACAAAAATTATAAACATGTCATGTCTTCTGTAACAATCTTTTATAGAAGTGACTTCTGGAGGTCAAAAAAAAATCATGAATCACCATTTGTATGGAATCTATGTCTCTATCAGCCCTGTTATCTAAAACTAGATCTGATATGAATATCACAAAGCTTCAACCTTGTTGCCTATGGAAATGTTTTTATGGCTACCTGGTACTAAGTTCACAGGTGGTTCCTGTTGTAGAGAGAAGGAAGGTTAGGGCCTTTTCCTAAATCAGGAGGAAATATCTAGCATTTCCTTCCCCCATTAATGTGCTGCTGCTCTTTCTCCTGCTTTGTACAAAACAGCAGGACCTCTCTGTAGAATCATTGCCTACAGCTGTGAAACATTGCAAAAAATGAATGGGAAAGTAGTTGTAATAGCTACCTACCTCCTAACATCCTCCTTCCCTAGGGAACTGCTATCTTCATGATGTTCTTATAAATTCCACTGCTGCAGAGACAGTGTGAATGCACCTTTATATATGCTTTTGATAAGTTTCTGAAGAATTTAAACTACCAAAGAGCCAATCCCTTTCTTCCTGTTTTTTAATTGAAACATTTTTTCCTGCAGTGCAAGATCCAGATGAAGAAGCCCTGAGGAGGTCAAGGTAGGCAAGTCCCTTTGAAAAATACAGCTTTCTCCTTCCTGATAACCCAATAATGTTTTAAAATGGCATTAATATGAACTTTCTTTATTATATTTTTGTCCTAAAATATTCTAACATATTTACTTAAAAATCACTAAAATTAAAATGCTACCATTGAGAGGCATTTGAATGAGAAGGATAATAAATCAGCATGTTTTTAGGAAAAAACAGTGTAAAATTACTGAAGTGTATGTTCAAATCTGAAAGCTCTCTGCTCATGCAACTTTCCTGTACTTTACTGGGTGTGTGAATGTGATGAGTTCCAAGCCCTGTGTAACTACTTGAGTATATGGATGAAAATATGTAATGCTGTGATAGCACTGAAATCTGTGAGCAATTTATTTGGATGACCCTCTGATTGACATTTGATTCTCTGTAAATGTTACAGTAAAGGAGTTGTTTCCATTCGTACCCATAGTCATTGGTTTATGTCTTGTTTGGAATAAATATGACCTAAATTTGTAGAATATGGAAGCACAGGACTGCTTTTGCTAATGGATAAATGTGTTTGTTTCATATGATGTATCAAAAACAACAAAAAAGAGGATATGTTCAGAGATATAATATGGAATTAAAGATTTATCATCATTCTGCATAGCCAGGAAATAGATATATTAAATATTATTATGTTAAGCTTAAAAACTGCTATATAAATCAGTAGCATTCTGCATGCAATCCTTAGTTTCTGTTTGCATACCTTGGATCCCTGTTCCACTTTAGCTGCTCTAAGCCACCAGCTGGGTTTGTGATGCATTTGGTATTCAATCTGCCCTTTCTTTTTCTATTTTATATTTTACTGCCCTGTGGGTTCTTTAAAGGTTCTGAGCTTTTGATCACAGTGCAGGTTACAAATGTTGAATCAGTGAGAAAGAGATCTGCTGTCTCCCCTGTGAGAATACAAGAATGCTTTCAGTTGGTGTTTGCTCTAAGCCCTCCACTGCAGTTCACCCAAGTTCATGGCTGTGTGCCTGAACATCAGGCTTGACATTATAGCCCTCAGGGATTTATTTCTTCCCTCAAATATGCAAGCCCCATTCTCATTACATGTATTGTGCATTATCTGTTTTGATGTAATAGCACACATCCAAATCCTTATTATGATGGGATTTAAAGCATTGTACTGAATTTAACAGTGCCCCATTCATATCAGAGAGTAATATGTGGTTTTAAAGAAATAATCTCTCTTGGTGTAATCTGTGACTTTGGAAAATACTACGTAGTGGAAACTTTACATGATATGAGATATGTTGACAATAATTACCTGATAACACATCAACACATGTAAATTGCACATTCTATCCAGTGTAATTCCAAGTAAATGACTACATCCACTATGCTTTGCACATATTTTTCAGTCTTTAGGTATCGTTGTATTATTCTTTTCTTGCCCAAGGATGCGTCTGGTTATGTTTAGGCACAGCTGAACAGGTTTAAGGTGTGCATTGATAGTAGAGACATAAGGGAGCATGTAGGTAGTTACACAGGTACAGTGCAACTGGTGTAAGCTCTGGTGCAAGGAATGAAATGGGGTCTCCTTCCTACCCCACTGACAGTGCTGGCACCATCTGGGTGCTTGATACCCACCTCAAACATTGGACACACTCCACTGGGGATTTGGCAGCAGAGCCCTGGCTGTGCAGGCATCCATCATTGTGGCCTCAGGCAGGCTGTGAGCAATCTCTCTGGTGCTTTCTCTTGTCTCTTTGTGTCAGCTCCTCAGTGTAGCCAGCAGGAATTGCATGGAATGGTGATCAGGTTTCTTCTAAACACTTAGGAGTGGAGGGAAGAAAGATGCAGCTTATTTTTGGCAGAACTGTTTTACATAAAAATAGTTACTTTTAGATTGCTGCTTGCAACTTCATGACATATGTTCAAAAAAAACCCATAAACTTGGGAATTTTTGGGTGGCAGAACATTCCTGTCAGTTAATATTAATGAATGTGTTGCATGACTGTCCTTTGCTCATGCTGCTGCTATTTTGAAGGCACACATAAAGTACAGCCTGCTATGAAAACTTTTCATTGCTGCTGTGATGATTCTTATGGAATATTTTCTGGGGAGATGGGATCCATTTCAAGCCAAACAGATGTTTCTGAATACCTTTTCCTTGAATGGAGGGGTGATATCTTCAAAGCAGTAAGGGAGTTCTTGTCACATCCACTGGAGCTAGTATATTCTGTTGTAGCTGGAAAAAAAATGCCATCAGAAAGTTTCAGCTAGAAATACTTTATATCTCTTAATTACCTAAAAGCACATGAAATAGTTTGAGAAGTCATACATCAGGACTCCTTTAGGACTGTTACTTGCATGGCACTGTGTTATTAAGCACAAAAGCTTTAGAAATATCAGTGAATTTGTTGGCATTTACTCTGTTTATTGTTCTGTGCTTTCCTCAGCCTGAGAAGTAAAACCAGCCCAGTCTGCTCCTTTCTGTTTGGCTGGTTTCACTCTCAAGTTCCACTGCATTAACACAATTAATTGTCTTGTGTTTTGAGTGTAAATAATGTGGAAAAAATGACCTTGTTTGCAATGGCTGCAAAAAGTTTTGCAAATAACAAGAACATTTTCTCTTTCATTCTGTTTGATATACTTCTCCTTGACTGTGCTATCATCTCACATCTTCCTTCTTCCCCTTTTTATGTACAAAAGCTGAATTTAAAATAGAGCATCTAGAAAAGATTAAATCTTGGGAGGTGCTGAGCATGGCTCAAGCACTCCAGTCCACAGTCACGGGTGGCAGGAGGTGGCCAATACTTCACAGGATTCTGCTTTGAAAATCCCTTGTTGTTCTGCTTTGTGACACAAATGACCAGAAATATCTATGCAAAATGTCAACACTAATACTCACTAATTCTGAGGAAGCTATAGAAAAGTACTGCTGAAACCTGGGGTTGGTGGTCCTTGCAGGAAGGACAGCAGGTTATATATGGGCTGACCTAAGTGTTAGAGAATGGAAAATAATTTGCATTCATTTTGCACTTGTATGAGTTAACTTTCACTGACTCCTCAGTTGTGTGAGAGGGAGGGAGAAGCCAAGAGAAACTGCTGGGAGGAAAACAATGGGATTACACTGCATTTCTAGCAAAAGCAGCCCTGTAATACCAAGCACAAGTCAAAGAATAAGAAGTTATATCAAGTTACTTCTCAGAAATAAACCATTGCAAAACCTTTCACACATGGTCCAAAAGCATCACCCAGTCTTCACTATGCTGATTGGAAAGCTGAGGAAAAAATCCAAATAAATTGCCACTGCCCTAGTTGTAAGGCAGGGGAGTGGTAGCCATGGTCCCTAACCCCTTTCTTTCTCCCTCCTTTCTTTCTTCTGTGTATGTGTGTCTCTCTCTGTCTCTGTCTCTCTCTTTCCTCATGCCACAGGGAGAGGTTTGAAACGGAACGTAACAGCCCACGCTTTGCCAAATTGCGCAACTGGCATCACGGCCTGTCCGCGCAGCTCCTTAATGTTAAAAGCTAAACGCCCCCACTCAGGGGGCAAACACAGAGAGTCCCAGTAACACATTAACTGCTGGCCTGACTTAGAGCCTGAGCCTGCCACTCCTGCAAAGATGTACTGCTAGGCACTAAGTTTCTGCTGTTAGCCTGTTAGCCATTCACTGTCACCAAAGGTGAAATCATGATACAACCCAGGACATGTTCTTCATGATAAAGTAGTTTAGCTTTTTTTTCCTTTATTATCTCAAACTTCAGTATACAGCAAAATGTCACTATTGTAATCTCTTGACTTTAATTCTGGAAGAAAATGGGAGGGAAGTTATTGACAGAATTTCTTTAGGAGGAAAAAGAATGCGATTTTGACAGAGTTTTACTGATGTAAAGATAATGAAGTAAGAGAAAGAAAGTTGAAAAGGAAAACTGATAGGCCTAGACTTTGCTAAATGTATAACACACTTAGTTTGCATAGTTGAATGATGCTGTTTGAAATAAAATATTAGCAATGTGAAGTTATATTTCAATATATTTTACTGGCAAAAGTAATTTACTGAAACCATTGCTGTAAGTTTTGTGTTGGAAACTTTATTTATCATTATGTGAAAGAGAGATAGCTGAGGTTGCTCAGGATCTGCAAGGAAATGACGTTTTGGTAGAGGTGATTAGGAGTGAGAAGAATATATCATACTGCTGGTGCACTGAAGCTTTTAAAAGCATCTTGTAAGTTTTAAGGAATATGTTACCCATTCTGTATTGCTCTTGCTTTGACTTACATTTTTTCTGTATATAGCAGCATGGTTTATCTGAAATAAAAGGTTTTAAAACTAAAATAACTATGTGCCTGTTTTACACAGTACTTTATTCTGTTTTAAAACAATAACTGCTTCAAGTGATTATTGAAAGAAGGAGAACTTTTCTTTCCCAAATATAAAATTGGGTCAAAAAGCTTTCCATTATTAGCTGTAATTATTATTGACCTGTAAGTTGTCTGAATTGGAATAAACCTGACTAAGCAGTTCAGTTAGGTACCTTTATCTGGTAGCAATAATTCCAACCAAAGGGATTAGTGCATGAGATCAGATTGAAAGTATTACACTTTTTGCTGCTTCCAAAATTGTCTCAGCAGCTTGTACAAGAACCAAGTTCATTCAAACACCCATTTTTTTCTGTGTTATAGAAATAAGGAAAAGTTCATGGAGAAGTTTGCATGAATCAACCAAATACTGAAGTGCTTAAAGGATTATCATACATATATAAAAAACCTAATTCTTCAGTATTACTTAAGAGTACCTAAGCACTAATTCCTTTTAAAATGCATTTCACTTTTCTTAGCTCTATATGAAGACATGCTACTTAATTCACAACATGCATTTATATTTTCCCTATGGGAGCACAAACACATTCTGATCATGCCATCTTATTAGTACATCTGGTAAATCAGCATCACTGCATGAAACAAGAGCAACATTTTAACTTTTCCTGATTGTTGTCGGGAGCAACCTTTGGTGAACCAA